GGTTTTCATTACCTTATCTTTCCGCAAACAGTCTTGTAAAATCTGTATTGATCTTCTCTATCAATATATATTTTAAATTTGAAAATACTGTGTTTGTATTCACACCCCCCCTTCTACAAACTGTTTCTATTCTTGTAGACCCTTACGGGACCAACACATACAAACTAGACTTCATGTGAAGTTAAATGGTATTCATAACACTTTTCCTGTGTCAAATCTAAAGAAGTGTCTAGCAAAACCAGAGGTAGTTGTGCCTCTGCCAGAAGTTAAAATTGATGAAAAGTTGTGTTTTGAAGCAATCCCGAAAGCCAATACCGACTTCAAAGTAAACACACTCAGGAATAAAGAAATCGGGTTAGTGAAAGTTTAGTGACGTTATCATAAGAGGCCGGAAGCCACCTGGGAACCCGAGTCTGAGATGCGAGTAAAATATTCTCATTTGTTTGGTAAGTGGAATTCTGGGACGAAATTCTTCTAAGAAGAGGATAATGTAACAGTCGGTTTCAAGATATAGTTGATCAGGTTTTGAAGTAAAGTAGCAATGGAAAGTTCGGGGGTAAAAGGTGGTGTTTAAGGGATCAATATATGATTTCATATCTTCTCCTTATGATAAGTATATTATTTCTATAAAAATATACATTTTGGGTGTGATGTATAGGAGTGGGGAGGTGCCTGCTCATGTATCGCCCCAATCAATCTCCCCTTTTCACTTACTATATATAGTAAGTGAGAGTGAACTTTTGAAGGTTTATAGTCTTTATGGGGAGAGATCAGTCTTGGCAAAATTTAAAGAAGGTAGAAGGTAGAAGCATATATCAAGCTAAGTTTTAGGCAAATGTGAGTTTTCTTATATTGCTTTGGGTAAATATGATTGTTATGATTCTGCAGTATATGTTGTTGAACTGTAATATATGGTGCATTGATTGAATTATTACATCAAATATGTTGTCTATCTTTTCATCGCACAAAGCATCACCATACGAAAACCCTCCTCGGACAAGGCATTGTCCGATGGGCTCCCTCATCGGACAAGGCATCATCCGATAAGGTCCCTTATCGCTTAAAAGGATGTCCGATGAACCCTGTTACCAATCAAATCATTTTCCAAATAGAACCATCATCGACCAAGTGTTGTCCTGTAAGGACCCTCACTGATTAGAGTATTGTCCGACGAAACCTTCACCAATTAAGTGTTGTCCGGAAGGACTAGGTGTTGTCTGGATATGACCTCATCGATCAAGTGTTGTCCGGATAGGACTAGGTGTTGTCCGGATATGACCTTATCGATCAAGTGTTGTCCGGATATGACCTTATCGATCAAGTGTTNGTGTTGTCCGGATATGACCTTATCGATCAAGTGTTGTCCGGATAGGACTAGGTGTTGTCCGGATATGACCTCATCGATCAAGTGTTGCCGAATAAGACTATGTATTGTCCGAATATGACCTCATTGACCAAAGTGTTGTCCGGATAGGACCATCATCGACCAAATGTTGTCCATATAAGACTAAGTGTTGTCCAGATATGACCTCATCGATCAAGTGTTGTCTGGATAGGACCAAGTGTTGTCCAGATATGACCTCATCGACCAAAGTGTTGTCCATATAGGTTCATCATCGACCAAGTCTTGTCCGGTAAGAACCCTCACCGACCAAGTACTACCTAGATAAACCTCTTCGCTCATAGTATTGTTTGAGATGAAATGGCAGGATAGATGAAAAGGGCAGTGTAATCACGATAGATGAAATGACGGTGTAACCGTGATAGACGGATGTTAATTCATTTTTTAAAGATTCAGGTTTGGATTATATTGATTGTTATAGTAAATTACATTTACATGAGGGAAATTCACTCGGTCTCAACCTCAATTGTTGTAGTAATTTATTTTACAGGTAATCAAACATCACAGGATAAAGGCAAAGAGAAGATGTAAAAGGAATTTTGGAAGATAGTCTTGTTATGACAAGAAATTTTGTTAACGCATACCGTTAGCTTGTCATATGTTAATAAACTTGAAATGTTTGTAATTTTTGTTACCTGATGTATGTAGAAGTATGAGTTTTGTTTGTTAGTACTGTTTAGTACATGGTGGGTTGTTTCAAATGGAGAGGAGGTCAATGAGGTTTAATGTGGGTAGTTGGGAGAGAAGGGTAGTTGAAAAAGTTTAAGGTAATTTAATGGTTAAGTGTATAGAACACGGGTTTTCTAGCTGAATAAATCAGCCACCGGCTAACCGAATTAGCTCCTACCAGATAGTTAGGAGTATCTAAACAAATCAACCATATCTATTATATGACTCATGAGGCTCTTAAGCTGCGTTTGGTACATGAGATGGGACAGGACATGACAAAACAAAACTCACTGTCCCATGTTTGGTGCAACATGGGACAAAACAAGAATTTACTGTCCCACGTTTGGCAGGACATGGGATAGGGATAAGAACTAAGACAAGATGAGACAACATGGTACAAAAGAAGTTTTTTTTTCTTGTTCTACCAAAATAGGTGGAACAAGATGAGACAAAAATAAGATAGAAACTAAAATATTACTAGAACACCCTAGTTTGATATATAACATTAATATAATATTTGTTTTAATGTTCATCACCGCTAGTTTCGCTCGCCGCCACCAGTGACAGTCACCGACAGCCACCTCCATCTCCACCTCCTCTTTCACTACCACAACATCATCCACCACCTCCACAACCACCATCCACCATCGTCCATCGTCACCTCTACCATAGTCGACCACCGACCACCATCGTCCATTGTCACCACTGTTACCGTCGTTCACCACCTCCAACTCCTCATCTACTACAACAACCTCCTTCACCACCTCTACAACCACTTACTACCATAGTCCATTGCCACCTTTACAACCACCATTGGTCACCGACCACCACCACCTATTACCATTAACACCACCACCGTTGGCCACCTCTAACTCCTATACTGCAACAACCTCTTCCATGACCTCCACAACCACTGTCGACCACCGACCAACACTTTCCATTGCCACCTCTACAACCACCACCGAGCACACCATCCATTGCCACCACCACTACCACCGTTGGCCACCTCCAACTCCTCCTCTACTGCAACAACATCTTCTACGACCTCCACAACAACTGTCGACCATCGACCACCACCACCCATTGCCACCTCACCTCCACCATAACCACCACCACCACTATCTTCACTACAACAAGCACAACTACCTCCTCCACCATTGTCAACCGCCGCCACCACCACAATCCACCATCTTCATGTCATTTATAACCATCGTCGTCCACCAACCACCACTACCTCTACCTCCATAACCACCATCTGGCCACCGACCACCATCGCCTATCGTAACTACTACTACCGTCGGTCACCACCACCTCCACCATAACCAAAGCCACCTCCACCACCACCACTACTACCATCAGTTATATCAAAAATTTTATTCAAATTTGGTACCATTATATATGTATATATTCATTTATATGAAATTGTGTAAAAATATATATTAATAGTTTACTTTATTTGTGTTAATTATAACTATTATATAATAATTAAAATCATCAAATAACTTTTCGAGGTAACTTATCTAGTTCTGTACCGTCTAGTCCTAGTCGTATCAAACACCAGACATACACTTATTCTGTCTAATCAAATTCTGTTCGCTTATATCATGTCCCATCCTATCCAATCATGTCTGCTTACCTTATCGAACAACTTGTAAGTGTACTCGTTAAAAATTCTGTAAGTGTACTCGTTAAAGATTCTTGTAGCCGGAGTGTAAACACACAGACCAAAATTGTAGTTTACTCTTTCGTAGATACAATACACACTCGAAGAAAATAAAAAATTAGATACAAATAAAAGGAGTTGAGCTTTGCAAACGTATCCATTTTGAAGACCAATCAGGTAAATAATCTGAGGAAATTTGCACATAATTCAACCCTCTCAAACAAAGAAGCTCCCTCCCTTTCTCCAGCGGTCGGGCTATCACGCCGTCAATCTTCCATTCGCCGTCCGTCTGCTGATTTCCTAACACTCTTTTGAATTCTTTATTCGTCCTCAACTCTCATCGATTTACAGGGAACAACAGCCGGAAAGAAAAAAGCAACACCACTTGCATCGACGACATTACCGGGAATTATCTTCCCCGGCGAACCATGGCTGTTGATGCCGAATTTGCATCGCTTTTAAACAATTTGAAGGTCCAAGATCCATGGCTTCCACCTAGACCTTGGGAATCCATACCTACGGAAAGTGGACTCTCTGTCACTTCGACATCTCTGTCCTCTCCTTCTAGTTCTAGACGTTTCTATGACACCTCTACTGTTTCTGTAAGTTGGTTTTTTTTTGCTATCCCCTTCATCTAGAATCAATTTTACTCTCTTCTGTCAAACGAAATGTCCAATTGATTTTGATAGTTCTTACTCGGTACTTCAACATTTGTAATTCACTGGATCATTTCTGATATCAGACTCCAAAATGGTTTTATTCTAGTTTGACGTGGTACTTTGTGTCTATATGTACCCTAGAGCTCTCGATATCAAGCCCCCCTTTCCCCCAAAATGGAAACTGTATTTTTGCTTATGTCTGGTATAGAGTTGCATCTGTTAGATTTATGATTAATCATTCATTTCAAATTTTGAAATTCAAAGTGGTTATTTGATACTCTTTTATTGGTTAATTTTATGTCTCTTTACACCAAGGAAACTCAGAACCTCTTGATATTAGACCGTTCCCAATTGAGATTTATGCTTATGTTTCATTTACATGCACGCACCCACCCACAGACACGCTCTTGCACACACACATACATATATATGTTCAGGCTGCATGGAAGCTAAGTCCATGGACTAATTCATAGGCGACACATCTAAAGACATTCGTCCATTATCTAGCGGCAAAGATGAAGTCATCTTATCCAGGCTAGGAAACATGGGATAGGATTGATTCATGTTAGGCCGTTGAATGATGCGATGACAGGTTGTGCTATCTATAACCTGCTTGCCAATGTATATGTGCTCTTGAAATGATTGTGCATGTTTTTTTGTATTCCCTCCGTGCCATATAGCAACTCCTGTGTTGAGATTTCACAAAATTTTATGTTGAAATTAATTATTAGCCTTTCTCATCTTTACAAATTATTCATGACATTGACTATGACTCACTACATTTTCCCTATTTTAATATTGAACATTTTAGACATTAGATTTATACTTAAACACTTGTGCAAAAGTATATGCCAGTCGAATATTTCAGTTTCTATGTGATGGAGAGGGTATAAGAAATATTTTAGTTCCAAAAGGGCCTCCTTTATTGGTTTTTTGTTCTGTACTAATACTTATATACTACGTAGGTGTTATATGTTTGATTTTCATTAGATCCTGTATAGATTAAGCTAGATTGCTGGTTGTTTGTTGTGCTGAATGAATAGTCTGAGTGACATAACTTACCATTTTACCCTTTTGTTTGGATTAAGTGCTAAACAAAAAACAATTGTATGTCGGAATGCTGTGATATTATTTCAACATCATTACGATTAAATTATAACAACAATTGTATGCCAAATTACAATACTCATTTGTATACCAAAATATATAGATTATTGAACAATTAAAACCCAACCCATCTAACACTTGAGCTACTGGACTTTGCAAACATTGGTTATGCTAACGTGCCAACAATAATTCCTAGCAGCAAAACTTCAGCCTATGGTGAGGCACAAATAGTAAGTTGTAGATGTCTAGATGATTTGCAAGAAAATACAAACAAGAAGTGTGTACACTGTATATAACTTGAAATCCATTAGTGCAGATGAAAAGAAATCCAGGAAAGAATCATCTTTCATATTCTTTAAACATAGAAAAACAATCAAAACTACAACTAAAAGATCTATCAAATAGCCTATATGTTAAAATGATGGTGTTAGAACCATTACTTTCAAGGGCATAAACATCATCTGTTAACCAGATATATTTTAACAACTGCATCCATCTCATAAAAGAGTCCACTCTCTTCACCTCCAATATGAGATTCATCGGAATTTTGGATGCTTTCTTTTGTTGTTTTTTTAAGTTTTGAAAAGATTTATATTATCATAGTACATCGTATATTTAGTGTAACAGTTCTGTATAAGTCATAACCAAAATAGTTCTTTTGAAATTTTGAAGTTAAAAACCTTATCTGTGAACTCTTTTTTTATTTTGTTATGGGAATGTGGTAGTATTAAAGCAAGATAGTTTTGAATCATATTAAGTATGAACACCCCCCCCCCCCCCCCAAACAAAAAAAGGGAGGGTTACATGTACCTTGTTTAGTTTGCTGCAAAAAACCACAGTAACAGGTTGAATTTTCTGGATCATTTGTATTACTATGCTTGGTTTTCCTTTCATGGTGTGTCTGTAAGCGAACTGATAATTTCAGGTATGTCTCAGGAGGCTAGTTTGGTGAGGTTGGTGATGAATGCTCTGCAAGGTTTACAGTCATCACTTACAAGCATTGACAGATTTTGTGCAATATTTCGTTCTGATCCGACAGACAGAACATTTCACCGAATTCCTAGTCTGTGGAACCAGTCCGTAAGTACACTTGCTCTAGAAAAAATACTTAGATCCTTAGGTTGCATGGGATGTGAAGTTTTCTTACTCCATAAATTTGTTAATTATTTCACAAATTTAAATCGGGATGACGATTTGAGAAGCAATAATAAAGCTGAGTCAGAACTGGAAGAAAGCAAAAGGTATCGTGATGAGGCAGGGAATGATTATCCTCCATACAGTCTTGTCAACCAGGCTTTTGCAGTTGCTGTTGGAGATGTTTTGGAAGGTTACATTGCTGCATTGGATACTCTATCTTCATCTGTTAGTTTCAGACGGTTATCAAATAGCGATAACACGTCCCGTGCTTCTACTTTGGGGATTGGCTGTCTTTCCAGTGTTAGGCACTCTGAAGTTACGCTGTTGGAGGTTTACCTTCACACGAAAGAATTGAGAAGTCAGATTGAGGTTATTGGAAGCATCTGCAACGTGCACAATCTGGCTCTTTGCTTCTCACTTTCACCCCTTGAGGGTTTCGAGACCCAAACAAAATTTAGTGACTTTCCAAGAGGTGGAAATCTTCTCACTTACTTGTATATGGAGCTCAAGGTTAGCATTCTCAAGTTCGATTTCATATTATCCAGAAATGTAACTTTCATATAAATCTACTTGATTCTTGTGTTTTTGTACTTGTTCATCCTTTAATAGCTTATAGCGTATTTTCAATTGTATTATCCCCATTTAGATCAGGCTTCAAATACACTAGTTACTTTTAAGTGTAGGTTTTGCACTATGAAAATCAACTTTTATAGGTCTTGATGTTTCCTAAACTTCTAGCTACTTTAAGTTCAATACATAGTATTTAATGCTGGTCAATTTGGGAATTTGTGTCATTATTTGGCTTGATGAACATACCTTTGATTTCAAATTCAGTTATTTTAGTCTTCATACAACATAATGTGAAAGTAATTGTGCAATGATGAAGATTATGGCTTTGCTTGAATCCTGATAGAATTTGAAATGAGAGTTCCAGGATCTTGGAATTGTGGTTAGCGATAAAAAGTTATGCAACATGCTATATTTCCATTTGAAAAATGGATTTGTTACCTACCTTATCTGATGTGAACATGTCAGGTTGCTGATCCAGTCCACTGTGCTCTTCTCAAAACTCTCTTCACACGCTCATGTGAACCGTATTTTGACTTTATTAGATCCTGGATTTTCAAGGCCAAAATTACTGATCCTTTTAATGAGTTCATAGTGGCTGAGGCTAACAGTCAACAATCTTATTCACTTTCTAACACTGGAGTCCTTGTTAACTTCCCGTCAGCCACCATCAGGGTAATACTGAATTTTTATCCCCATTATTATTCTATTCAGAGTTGATATGTCAAACATATGGTCTTAATACCGTTTGATTCTTACTCTTGCAATGTGAAATTTTCATTCCAGGAGCAAGATGGAATTTCTGTTCCTTGTTTTCTGCAAGACTTCTTGATTCCACTTTTTAGGGCTGGTGAGCAGCTTCAAGTACTAATAAAATTGCTGGAATTTTCTGATGGTGTTGGCAGTTGGAACCGTACTTATGAGGACTTTCTTCCCTATTGGAGTAGAATATCAAGCTCTCGTTTATCACATGCATCTCATTTGTTTTTCAGTAAGGAAGGAATTGAAATGATGGTACTTGAAAGGAGACACTACTATAAAATATTGACAGAAAAACTCAAAAATCATTTGCCAAACCTAGAATTTAAATATCATCAGGTAATTTCATCATAAGCCTTAACTATTCATGTTTACTATGTATTCTAGTTCTACCATGCTAAAATGATTCTTTCCTTCTTTCCTATATGCTTCTCACCTAGACCTTAGTCTGTTAAAAGCAGCTTAATGTCGAATGGTCAGTGGTGTTTCTTCTAATGCATAAACAATAGATACTAAGTTTCCAGCTTGGGATTTAATTTTTGGAGCAATACTTTCCTAACTATTTTACCAGACATTTTGAATTCTAATTACAAAGGGTAACTACACAAATTAATGCTACCACTATTAATTTGTCCTATCCTAAAATTTGGACCATTGTATATATTGTTTTTTCAACTTCCTTTGCAAGTCTGAGATGTGAACTGTGAAATTTGAACTCAAGCTACAAGATAATATGTGGTAGTGGACTTATAAGGAAAAATGCATTTAGCTTGATAAACAAGCATATATTAGGCCGTCTTAATTAGGAGTGAAGGAAACTTATATGGAAGAAGTGCTTGATCAATTACTTTCAATAATGTTATTAGAATATTAACTTCTCTTTTTATTACTGTCTCTAGTATTCTCCTATAATTCCTCCACTTTTTCATGGTGTGTGTATAGAACTGTAAGTGAAGTTTTCTTTCAAATCAATGAATTCCATAGACTTCATGCAATAGACAATTCTAAAGATGATCATGATTACTAATAATAGTAACTTTAGTAATTAAATGATAAATTCCATTGGCATTCTTTTCTTTGAAAGGAATAATGGTTTCTTATTCAGTAAAACATAGAGAAGCAATTAGAGAAGGTTCTTGTGCTTGAATTCTGGTGACGACCAAACCTGCATAAAATGTCTTCATGATAAAGATCTACATACATTAACCCCACAACAAGGGATAAATAATTTTACCTTACTTTGCCTCCCAAGTTAAAGCAACAATAGTAATCATATGTAACTTCCATAGTGTGGATTCAAGGACAAATTGCTTCACATTAACAGGCTAAGATCATCAGCTGAATTGACACATTGGATACAAATGCTAGTATGGTTCTGCTTCTCATTGAAATTTCCTGCAACTACAATCTTTGTATGTTTCATTTCTCATGCTCAGTAGGAACTTTGAAGGTATCAGTTGTTGCTTAGATGGACCTTGACACTTTTCATGTAACAAGTCTAATGTGATGGTAACTTGGTAAAAGTAACAACCACAGAAGAGTTTGAACAATAGCATATTAGAGCATCTCTAACAAATTCTCCAAAATGGAGAAAATGGGGATTTTGGACAACTTTTTGCTCCAACCAATTCTCAAAATGGAGAAAGTAGGAGAAATAGTGTAAATTTCTCCAAATTTGATCTCTCCAAAAATGATTACCATGAGAGAGAAATGGTTTTTTTATTATATTTCACCAATAGGTAACCTTGAAATGAAATGTTTATGAGAGAGAAATAATATTTAATTAAATGTAATATTTTATTAATATAATTAATGATGTAATCTCCAAAATAAAGGATCTGGTGGAGTTGAATGCAATTCTTTTTAGAGATTTTGAACTTTGGTTCTCCATTTTGAAAAACTTTTGGAGATTCTAGTGGAGATGCTCTAAGTTATCCAACATGATGATGCATAGCACCAGGCTCATCCTTAGTGAAGGATGTCACAACCATCTATTCCCCATGTTACAAAGCATAAACATTAATAGAATCATAAGAATGCTAACTGATGAAATTCTAAAAGTTAATCCTGGTTTAGAAGTAGTTCACCCAATCATTCCATAAGCCACCAAAAGACCAAAAAACCAAAAAATACCAGGCCCCACTGTGGTAAGAATGTCATACCTAAGAAATCAAATAGGGTTAATACTAACACAAAAAATTATAGGTGGAAACTCTTTTAGCTAAAGCTTGACCTTCAAGCTGACCAGGAATATGAAAATATTAATGGGAGAAAAAACGGAACTTAAAAAACGGTTTTTAGTAAAAGAAAGGATAAACCTCTATGGTGGTAGTAGCCATTAACACTAATTATCAGTCTGTGTTTACACTTGCTGTTGTCTTGTAATAGTTGACGCATTGTTTGATTCAGAAATTTAGAATACCCTTTCATCGTAGTAAACGTAAAGAAATATTTGTGTTAACTCTTAGTTTTGTGACAAAGTAGATCTCAAGGACCAAATTTATAAGTTTTGAGACAAAGTAGATATCAAGGACCAACTTAGGGGCCGTTTACCAAACGCTTACCCGGGTAATCGCTTACGGGTAAAATTCAACACTATCACTTACTTACCGGGTAAGATTTTAGTCCACCAAAACAGTATTGTATACCACAATTCACCCGGTAAGCGCTAACCGTGGTAAGAGTCGTCACCCTCACTTACCGGGTAAGACTCTTGGTCCTTACCTTCGCTCTTACCGGGTAAGACTCTTGGTCCTTGTCATATTCATCCGGTAAGGTAATGTGACTTGATAAGCGCTTACCTGGGTAAGCGTTTGGTAACGCCCCTAAGTGTCATAATTTCTTCTGGAATGATGCTTTGGGAGGGGCAACTAAATGGTTTTATTATAATATTTTACTAAAAGCACAAATTTGAAATGATATATCTTAAAATAAAATCGTCATTACTTTGATGAAAGATAAAGGTATAAATTTTTTAACCCTGGGACAATTCTTTTAGTTTTTTTTAGTTTTCATCTTTTTATCATTAGTATGAGCTTTGACTTTATGCACATATTAGGCTGCATATAAATACTCTTACAGTAAACAATTTCTTTGATTATACTTGTACAAAAGTAGAAGATAAATTGTAAATGAACAAACGTGTGCAGCTTTGACCTCAATTTTGAATATTATTTAGGGCATGTTTTGAAAAAATGAATAAGCTAAACTGCATCATCGTTATCATTTAAATATCATACCAAAGTGTAAATTGTTGAAATTAGTTCCATTCGTTTCCAAAGAAGTATTCTCATAATAAATTAAATTGGAAAATCTATTGGTTATTGTATTCACCGGTGAAAGGTGTGTTAAAAATTGAAATAAAATTATAGTTGATGTCGGTATTGATTTTGATCATTCTGAAATTTATGATGGTGTCCATGTGAAAAACTTATTGCTGAACTATAAAATCTGTCAGTTGTGTAATTGGGTGGACCTATTGAATTATAAAGTTTGATAAAGATGTCGCAATTAGTGAACATATTCATTCTTGGTTTAAAATATTTCATTTAGTATGAAATTAGTTAGGTTTATAATGAGTATATATTTACTTATTGATTCGATCCCTAAAATGTTGGGATACCTTTATGCGATTTAGCTGAAAATTGATATATTTCATAATGTCTACTTGTTTTTTGTTCCGAAAAAAATGTAAAAAAGAGAATAAATTTGAGAAAGTCTGAAAGTTGACACCCAGAACTAATTAAAATGAAACAGTGGAATTTGAAAAGAACCTAAAATACTGGAAGTTGGTATTAAATTAGGGGTGCACAAAAAACCGACCAAATCACCAACCCACCCAACCCAACCTGAAATATAGACCACCATCCCAAGGTTTAATTGGTTTATAAAATATACAAAGCGATGGGAGTAGGGTCGGTTATGGGCTAGGTTAATGTCAAAACGAACCAACCTTTAAAACCCGACAAAATTATGATAACTAAAAAATATTAATTTTTAAATGTCTACTAACATACATGAGCACTAGTCCAACAATTTAGTAGCCTCCTACTAATCCAATACTCACCTTTTGTTTTATAACCGTTGACAACATGAACAAACTCAAGGTTAATGTTAAAAGCAACGTCGGAGTAAGAAAAGTTGAAAACCGTCATTGTTGATCGATAGTCATTTTAATTCTACGCTCTTATCATAATATGTATCCTGACATATTATCATAACTGCACGAACCCAACCTGACATGTAATAGGTTGGGCTATAGATTTAGAAAGCGTTGAGGGGGTTATGATTTTCCAAACCAAAGCGTTCAAATGGCCTCAAACCGCCCAACCCAACCCATGTGCACATTAAATGGTGAAATTTCAACAAAGGACCACCCTACATATAGGTTTTGGTGAGAATGGTGATCTTTTTTTTATAGAGTTACGATATGCGAATCTGCCTTCACCCACATGGAAGTTGGCATTGTGACTGTAATTGTGCATCTCCTGCACAAGCAACTATGAGCATGCACCACGCAAGTGTACTTTGAAGGCTGATTATGACATTATGCAAAGCCAAAGTACCCTCTAGGAGACAATAAAGTATTATCTGGGCATGACTTTGCGAAACAAGCATAGTTCCTCTCGATAGTTGCACCCTTCTAGGTGTTTTTATTTCATTGAACTTAGTTGTGTGAGAATGTATGCTAGGCTTCCCAGCCAACTAATGCCAATAACAGCCAATTACTTGCGTGGTCCAAGAAGGGGATGCTCAAACATTTTAAAAGTATAATATGGGATATTTCCATAACCAGATGAGGTAGTATGAAATGGTAAGAGCAGATCATCAATCTAATAACTAATACCTAATCTAACCATTGGTCAGCTTACTTTAACCATTGTTTTTCATCTGTCTTGCTCTTGTCACTATTTTTTCTTAACCGGTGAGAAACCATCAACCACTAGCAAATAGATTTAATGAAAGTTTTTCATTGTTCATAATAATATTGGTCAGGCAGTGTTTAAAAACCAGTGACTATATACCATCATGGTTCAACATTATTTTCACATACTTTTCCGGTGTAAGGTTTTGTTAATTGTCGCTGAAGTTTCCCTCTCAATTCATGGCTGACCTGGATGTTACGTTTCCTAGGTAATTCCACACGATATATTACCCACTTCCGTTTCTACCGGTGGAGGAAGTCTGGAAGTGTCATTTGCAGCTAATGATAGATGGGTTTCTCCTTCAGCTAAGAATATACATCAAAATCTGTAAGATCTCTTTGTTTATGTATCTATATGAGCAACTAACAATGTGGGGCATTGTTGTTGTGTTGCCCTAGAAAGATAAAATAACTTGGGTGACAGAAACTTTTAGGGACTATATATTTGCTTCTAGTATCATGTTATCCATGTGCATTTGAGTTTCTGGCCGCAACAGTTATAGGATATCTATCTGAAAAAGGAAGTTTTTTCGTTATGGTATACCTAGTACCTCCAACATGCATACTCTACTACTATCAATATAGCCTGCAAAGTTGACTTCCTGTTGCACCCTCACTCATAATTGAAGGTGCGGCGCATAAGTCTGGAAGGCCTGATTTCATAGCCCAAGCTCTTCGAGTCAGCTATGCCACAAAGTTGAGATGACTGGTACATGCCTAGTGCATTGCCAAGAAAACATTTACAAGGAAGCATGTCACATCCTGGAAGACCCATAGCGTTCTTAGATAAAATACGGTTCACTATGATGGTCTACGCTCTTGTACTGTTGGATTGTTTGTTATACTTGTAAGTCTAGGACTTGGGTAGTATAACCTAGAAGGTTCTTGTAAGTTGTATCTACAGTCTTCTTGGGAGGGTGGGTCAGAGTTTCCTGTAAAAAGGAGAAGCCTCCCTTATTTGTAGAATCCAAGTGAGAGGATCCAAAGTTGGAGAATTGAGAAAGCATATAGTTCGCTTATCGTAACACTTGTTCCCATGACCAAAGGGTCATTGGCCCAACGGTATCCGAGTTGCTGGTAGATCCCAACCTCCGTGGAGGTCAAGGGGTTCAAGCCTCATCAAATGCGAGGAGTGTGTGTGAGTATTTGCCGCATATAAGTATATACTTAAAAACACTGGTTCCCATATTTCTATGTAGACACTGTGTTAGGCACCATGCATTTCTGTAATTCCCTAACTGAAACACGAAGTAAAATGGCACAACAAGCAAAAGTCATTGCAAACATACAAAACCATTAACCTTAGATGGTGGAAGCAGAAAGCAAGAACGCAACCAAACCAAACCAAACGAACCCAATATATCCTATTCGAATGTAAGTTGTGGGAGGGGTAGGATGTATGCACGATGCAAAGGTGTGTGCCACAAGTAATCATAAAATATAGTTGGTAGAATAACGACTCCATGAACACAACAGCGATTTTAAAAGAAGACTTCAAGGATTTAAATTTCAGAAGCATATTTAATACAAGCAGTAAATGCAAGGAATTTTTACTCATTCTATTCAACTCTGTCAGTTACAACATCCACCTTTTTATACCAAAAAGTAACGGATAAACAAAAAGCAACAAAAGATAAATCATTCTGATGTCACAAAAAGTAATGATTCTATGTCATATTTCCATCTACTATTCTGCAACATTGATCACCACAAAATTATTCAAAAGGTCAATAGTTTCTGCACACCCCTCTTATGCCAGTTAAAGAGGATCCTCTGATGCTGCAGCATATGTATCTATGTATGTATCTGTCTGTATTCAACATTTGGGGAAATTTTTATTGGCAATTTTTCATCATAAGATAAACCCAATTCATTGCTTTAACCATAAGGGTGGTGCCTGATTGGTTTGAGCTTGGCTCCAAAGGTCAAAAGTACCTGGAGGTCCCATGTTCAAATCCAAGGAAGAATAAAAATCCCCTTGTGGCCACGGAGGTTCAAATGCGGTGACTCCGAGCTATTTGCAAAGCAGGTGGTCATCCTGGGATTAGTCGGCTCGCATAGCGGGTTGGATATCTAGGTTAATCAAAAAAAGAAAAAGAAAAGAAAAGAAAGATATATTGATATAAAAGAAGGAAAATGACTCCAACATTTGTTAAGAACGGTAAACATGAGGAAAACACGGTAGATATGATGTTATAGCATTGATCAAAATTAATGTTATTACACCACCAGAACTGCGATGACGATCGTAGTACTTTGTTGCAGCAATGGCTGTAGAGTCCATTACCAATTCATTATTGAGGAAATCATGACTTTACTATGTGTCTTTACCCACACACCTCCACAAAAGCTTTACACAGGCTTGGAAAAGGATCACGGCTTAGCAAACGCGTGTGCATCATCCAGGTGAGGAGAGACCTATAGAAAATTGAATGCCTGTTTCTATTCTACATGTTGAGCAGGAAGCTTCGCATTAACAGCTCACTTCCACTCATTTAGGTAGTATAGGTTATGTTCTTGCCAGAGAATACAAAGAACACTGTAGTTTTCAGTGATAGATAGAGAACCATGACGCTGATTCCAAAGTTTTGTCTTAATCTCGAACACCTGTAAGCATCTTCTAGATCCGAATAAGTCCCCTGAGTTGTCTTCCATATATTAGCAACCATTGAGAAAACATGTACAGATCCTTTGAGTTGATGAGCCAAGTCAAGACTATAGAATTTTCGGCATTCCATTGTGGATAAGCAGGATTAGTTGACCTAGGAGCTGGTTTACAACAGTGAAAGATGCATCCTTTGCCACTCCGGAAAAGAGAGACAGATTGTGACCACAGTAAAAAGTTCTGTATGTTCAATTATGGAGGGACTTTTTGCAATGAGTCAATGACGAGTTGTCCGACAAGGCTATAGACAAGGGAGAGGTTGTCTTGTGCTGTAGGCTATCTGTAAAATCAACCACATATGAATTTGAAATGGCTAAAGGTTAGATGAACGATCTGAATACCTGTGCAGGCTCTGATACCATGTGAGTTAAATAAGTTAAATTCTTATTCATTAATTCGTAAAAGAACATATTGGCTGCAACCTGTTTGTAAAGGCAACATGAGGCTATCTAGGAGAACTCCTAAGAATAAGAAAAACACTAATTACATAATTGACTAGATAAAATAACTTATTATGATCAAATCTAATAACAACTTATTCAGCAAATATTTGGTTTGGACATTAACGACACACCAACGCTATTCCTAGAAATCATGAACATTTTGCATAACACAAGATACCCAAGAATATCAGAGTACTTGATACTATCTTAGAATATTATAGGGTCTTCTAGGAATATCCGGAAGTCGTCCTTGGTTACGTCTTTGTATGTACGAAGTGGGTGTTTCTGCAGCGACTGCATGTAGAGTCTGTGCTTGAAAACTGCGAGTTGTGGCACTAGTGGATGCCAAGAAAGCAGTTCACCTTCACCATGAAGGACCGGGACATCCTAGAAGACCCGGTAGTCTCTTAAAGGTGGTATAAACTTTTCCGTGATATTCTAGTTTCTCATGTACTTTGTAGAACGTTCATTATGCCTGTAGGAGTTTAGTACCATGTAGTAGAACCTAGAAGGTTCTCGCGTCTAGAGTCTTCTTGGGAGGGTTGGAGACTACTACAAGCAGTGGAGGCCTCCCTCATTTGTAGCATCCTAGTATGAGGATCCAAATGTGGAGGGTTAGGAAAGCATAAAGAATAATATACAAAGCCCTCCCTTATTTATTATGTATACAATGTTATCTGGTTAACTCTCACCCCTAGGAATCATGAATTGGTTAGTTCATTCCCTTTATGAGTATGATTGTCAACTGTTTTTTGAAACAAAACACATACTATGAAATCTTAAGGAATACAGTAGAACACATATAATAGTTCCAATCAAGTTGATTATGAAGAAAATGTAGACAATGTATGTCAAAATATATTTGGCAGTTTTTTTGATGCATCTTGTTTCTTGAATTTGGGTTCCTTTGGGAAGAAGATTTGTGTGTGGCAGAGGAAGAGAAGCAAAAAAAGGGGTATGGTGGGTTCAAGAAAAAAACATGAAAGAGGCTAGAAAAAATGTCAGTGCTTTGATATATTCTGTTCTTTTCATTGACTTAACCACGTTTGAAATTAATAGGGTGTTCATCTGGAATAAATGATAGCAATATATGAGATTCACAGGCTTTCAAGTTTCAACTCCTTTTAAATTGAGCAATATGTGAGAATTATAAGTTGGTAAATATAAAGCCTATTTTTTTCTTTAAATGACAGATTTCATACTCCTTCATTGTAAACTACTGATGTATAATAAATGATGCTTAAGAACTGAATGCCAACCATTTACTTTTATACAAAGAGATCTATGAAGATTCACTTGACTAATTATAATTCACAACTTTATACATATTTATTTGTGGTTGTCGGTATTATCTACTCTTAGAAAAGATAATCACTAAACTTCCCCTACTAAAATATTTTGGCAATCATGTATGGTATACCATAATAATGAACCTAATGAGACCAACCCTGACAAACCACATAGCACTAAAACTATATTCCACGCACTCGTACCCCTACCACAACCGTGCATACCATGAATTACGTAATATGTATGTGCTCTCATTAAAATGCAGTTGCTAATGCCCTTCCAGCTAATGCCCTTCCAGCTAATGCCCTTCCAACACCTTGGCTTGCATACAAATCATAAGTAACCTGCATATTAAGCTCTATTTATCCTTTTGTTCGATTATCTTTGCAAAGACTTATAAATTTCCTAAAGCGTTGATCTTCTTCTGACCATCAGGCCTCTTGGTACGGTGGATTCTGATGCATCTAGCATGACAGAGGACTCTTATGTGGAGGATCAGTTGGAACAATATGAATGTTCGTCTATTGAGAACTCTGGTGAAGAAGTGGTAGATGAATCTGAGAAGATGGTTGACCTTTTTCATGATTCAGAAGATCCAGAGAAAAAGTACTTGTCTGCTTTAGAAATTAATTCAGATACCTCTTCCAATATTCTATTAAAGCCTTCCCAAGGTGAAAGCCGATCCACCATGGGAAGTGGTTTACATGAATTATCAAAAATTTCTGATTTACCTCGTTATCCTCTGCATCCTCAGCATTCATGGATGAATATGAATGGTGTTTCCCTTGAGTTAGATTGGAATTTGTCATGCATGATGGAAGGCCCAGATACTAATGGTCAGCTTGATAGTGGATGGCCACTCAATTCCATTGCAAAAAATCCTATTAGTAATGGCATAGGGAACATAGATGATACAGGGTTAAATGCTTCTAGGTACAAGCGTGAAAATAATCTAAGGTCAGGAGTCCAAGAAAAAAGCACATCACACTGTGGAGATATCATTCCCACTTGCAGTGACCCAGCAAAAGAAGCTAACAAGTATCTTCATCCATCTGGGGATGCTTTGAGTTTGAGATGCTTGAGATCATGGGAGGTTGAATGTGCTAACCTAGTACTAGGGACAAGCAAGCTTCGGAAAAGATGTTCCAAAGTATATTTACCTTCTTTTGACTTTAGCTCCATAAGAAATCCGTTTACTGAATGCGTGGATAGATTAGGTAGTTCTGACAGAGGTGGCCAGTTCTTGGTATCAGCTAATAGTTCCACTATGAAAAATTACCATAATAAAGGCCATGGTGGTGATGCACTCACTGTCAAGAAGTCCTATGCACCTCTTGGTTTGAAAATTGATCACCAAGAACAATCATTGTTACAGAATGCAACTGGTGGCGGTTGTTGGGAACATTTGCTTGATGGCTTTGGCGACACAAATGATATCTGCCCTCGTGAGCATAAGACCAGTGCGGCTGCAGTTATTGAGATACCATTGGACTTTGTTCTTGAGAAATGCTTGTTGGAGGAGATTCAGCTACAGTATCCTTAATTCCATGCAATCTGTACAGTAAAAGTTTAAATCACAGCTGCTTCTGGTATGTGGTTATTTTTCTTTGTTTTTGCTAGTGGATACTTTCATCCTTAAACCAGTTAAGCAAATTGGAATTGTTTCATCTTGCCTTAGCTTGCATTTACTCGAAATGTGTGGCTTTATCAGTATCACACACAATTCTTTTTTTTGTTCGCTCCTTAAAATTGACAAGTATTCACTAATGTTGCTCATGAAAGCATGCCAAAAAACTGCATGGTACCTATGACTCTGTACTTGAATCCTCCATGAGATTGAAAATGATATGCAAGGAACACGTTTATAGCATACTTGCAGCTACGGATGGTATGTAGGTGTTATTGCATGTGAGGTCTGTTCTCTGTTGATAGTCAGTTTGTGTGCAAATTGGTTAGATTTTATTGAGATGGATTTCTCTTCGTGATTAGTTGATACTCCCTCCGTCCCAAAATATGTGTCCGCATTTCTATTTTAGTTTGTCCCAAAATAAATGTCCAATTTCGAAAAACTAATGCATACTTTCCCATTCTACCCTTAATTATGAGATGGAGAAATTAATTACCCCCTCTATTATTATGGGTAAAGCTGTCAATTAGTCCAAAAAAAGTGTAATTATTACACTTTTTTAAAACTGTCAGCCTTTTTCATTGTGGACACTTATTATGGGATGGAGGGAGTATTATCATTGCTGACTTAAGTATGGCAGAAGATTGAAAACAGAATGATTTTCTAGGTGTAGATGATTTATTGCTCTAATTCATTTTTAAGTTGTTGATATAGACTGAACAAGCACTTGGTTATATTATCTAAAGCTTATATGATAATGATACATTAACATTAAATATGATTCCATTGAGAATGTAGCGATGTCTCCGCTCGTCGAGAAGCCGGCTCATAATGGTGGTTGATTGCCACAAAGCCAACTACACCCATCTCATGGCATTCGTTGAGTTGGGGACTCCGATGATAATCGAGGACTTATCTTGAAAGGGCGAAAAGGATGGGATATTGGAGGCATAATTTCTGAAAAAACTGTGTGTGAATGTCTGTGGCTAGAATGGTGAAGATCCTTCATTTAGTATTTGTCAAGCTCTCCTAGTTGGGTTGCATTGTAAATCGCAGCCTTCTTTGACTGACCCTCTGAACGTAGACTTTTGAGTCATTTAATGTCTATTGTGCTTATCTCTATTCATTAGAAGTAGGGTGATACCTTCAACCTTCCTGTGATGGCTTGCATCGCAGACTTCAGCTTTGTATTATGGAGACAACGACCTTGAGTTCATTTATGCTGGCTGTCCCATACCTCTTGGGTGCCTTGACAACCATTCATTTTGATACTTTCCTTGTAGTCTATCCTTATTTCCAAGTATAGATGTTCCTAATGTATATTTACATGGGTTTTCTATCCCTGATATATTTCAATATAAAGAAGCCTCAATACTCATTTTCTGACAAGCAACCGAATCATGTATTTTGTTTATTTGGGAGAAGGGTGTATTTTTGGTCACGCTTTATTTGTTAAAAAGGTGCTTTTCCTGTAATTTATCATGTACATGATTTATGTATTTTTACTCGCTTATTAGTTTGCGACAATGGACATCTTTCCATAGATGCCAATGATGAGCATTGGATGGCAGTACCAATGTACTCTATTGGTAGTATCATCTAATATGAATTCTACATCCTGCTAAAGTAGGAATTCAAGCACATGAATTTTCTATTAGGGTTACTTCCTTAATGTTGATAGATATATTTATGTCAGTAAGTTGACAATTAAGCTACTTGAGGAAGGTTTCTCCTTACAAGAGCATTTACTGGCTTTGCGACGTTACCACATAATGGAGTCAGCAGACTGGGCTGATTTGTTTATTGTGTCACTTCGGCATCACGTACTATGTTCTTCCTTAGTCTCTTCTATAAGATTTTATGCTGTGTATGCTTGATGATTATAATCCTATACTAAATTTTGTTTTGTTTTCAAGAAATGGCATGTGAGAGATGCAGATAAAAGGATATCTGAAATTCAGGGGCTTCTGGAGCTCGCAGTTCAGAGGTCTTCATGCGAAAGAGACCATTATAAAGATAGATTGTTTGTGTACATGAAAGATCAAGGATCCGCTTCTCTTCCTGCTTTTGCAACTGGTATATTGAAACTTCCTTTCTTTGTCCCCCGAATAGAATAGAAGTTGATATAAGTTTGAGTGATTTAAGGCATGGTATGGTGGCAGGTATACAGTCCTTCAACGTTTTGGGCCTGGGTTACAGAGTAGATTGGCCAATTAGCATTGTTTTGACTCCTGCTGCATTGAAGATATATGCTCAAATCTTCAGTTTTTTGTTACAAGTCAAGCTTGCACTATCTTCTTTGACTGAAGTATGGTGGTCATTTAAGGTATATAATTTACATAGTGCATGTAGATATCATTTCCATGTTTGGTTCTTCTTGGTCAGCACTTGCTCTATTTGTTTATATTGTTGTTTCATGGTTTGGAGTTTATTTATTAGATGAGCCTGAGAGGCTGATAGCAAGTTAAAAATGGAAAACAAACATTGAATGCCTTTTGAGCTATCCTTACCATAGTGGTCATTTAAGTCTTTTTAGCTGATGGAATTCTAGTATAACATAAACTAATATGCTTTGTTGATATACAGGAATTCATCCACCAGGGCAGTTATTCTGATTTACGTAAATCAAAGGCTTGCCATTTCAATATCATGGTGAAATTGAGGTATGCTCGAACCTTTGTTTGCAGTAACGTCACATGACTGGAATGCCCTTTCATTTCTTCTCTTCTTTTTCGTAATTTATATGATGTTATAAGTTGTACGTACATTTTGATTTTTTATGTTTCAGGCACCAGATATTTCATTTTGTATCAACATTGCAGCAATATGTTCAGTCTCAGTTATCACATGTGTCTTGGTGCAGATTTCTACAGTCTCTCAAGCACAAGGTTTTGAAACAATCGTTATACACTTACTGGTTTAGTTCAGTGTTAATTATTATTATGTTTTCAATGATCTGGGTACTTGCATTAGGTTAAGGATTTGAGGGATCTGGAGTTTGTTCATATGGATTATCTGAATGATTCGCTAAGCATGTAAGTAAAAAAGTATAGTGTTTTTATGTGTGTAGATGATGATGATGATGATGATGATGTTTTGTCTTGCAGATGTTTCTTGTCGAATAATATGAAAGGGATAGGCGAGATTATTGAAAGCATTTTGCAATGTGCATTGGACTTTGGATGCGTTGTGATTGCGTCAAAGAATTCGGCTCTGAACATCGATGAGGTTATTTTTTTTTACAATTAATTAATTATATATTAGTGTTAGTAAATGAGTAATTAAGGGTGTAGAATTTGAAGGTAGTAAGTTGGTTGAATTAATTGCAGGTTGTGAGGATTAAAGAAGCATTTGAGGAAAAGATGAGACAAGTGTATGGAATGTATCTCAAGTCTCCTAAGAATGTAGAGTTTAGTCTCCCATGCTTCTGGGAATATCTCAATTACAACCATCATTACTCATCACAGTAATTAATTATATTTATTTATTGGAAATTAAAAAAAAGGTAAGAATTTTGATTATGAAACAAATGATCGCTGATTTAGTGCATACCATACATGGTGAAGGAATTAATTTAAAAGATATTATCGAAAAATCCTAACCACAAGTGTGGTGCCTGATTGGTTTGAGCTTGGCTCTAAAGGTCAAAAGTGCTTGGAGGTATCAGGTTCAAATCAAAGAAGGAACAAAAATCCTCTTGTGGCTACGGAGGTTTAAATGCGATGATTCCGGGCTACCTGCAAAGCAGGTGGTCGTCCTGGAATTAATTGGCTCGTATAACGGGTTGGATATCCAGGTTAATCAAAAAAAAAAAAATCCTTAGGTTTCACAAGTGTGTTTATATGTATAACAATAGTCAGAGTTCAAATCACATGTGATTGATGTGATTTTATCTTGCGATCTGAAGACGTGGTCAAAGTCGTCCGCACCTTTTTTTTATACCGTTAATGTAAAATTATGTGTGATTTTGCACGTGATTTGACCGTTTTCATGTTCTTTTAAATAGGTAGCATTCTCATTTGATTCTCCCTTTATATATAGGGGAGGCTTATTTTACAAACCAAGTAATTCTTACAAACTCTACAAATCGATCTCAATCATACATGTAGATAATCAATGGTATGAATTAATTCGGTTTCTAAATTTACCCTTAACTGCATTTATAACTACCTCTAAATTTTAAAATAAACAAAATCAGTGGTTGAGAACAGGTTTGTAGGGTTTGTAAAAATTACGTGGTATATACAGAGAGAGAGAGAGAGAGAGAGAGAGAGAGTAAAGATCATGTGATAAGTAAAACATTTTACGAGAAGAAAGAGAAATTTCAATATCATATATGATTGCATTTCTTTGGGTATGTTTAATTACATAGGATTAAGCCTCTGTATCATGCGTGTAATCATATATGATATTGAAACTTTTCGTCTTCTCATAAAATATTTAGCTTCTTGTTTGAACCTATATATATAGATCCATCATCACCAGTATCAGTCGACAGTACACATAGAGATGTCTAGAAAAGCTGACGAATGCAATGACGATTCCATCCGACATTTTCCTGTTTTCTTTTAGACTTTAACATACTAGTCTTTATAGGCTTTTTGACCTTTGGTTTCTTAGACTTTACATATGTTTAATTTGTATTTGTTTCCTTTAACTTAAAGATAAAGTTAGGTGACATTTGTAATTAGAATCAGTGATAGAATTGTCCGATTGTAATCATAGAGATAACACTGAAGGTCTATAAATACCTTCATTCGAATCCATTGTAAAATCATCGAAACGAAGCAATAAAAAATATATAACTCTCAAACCCTATGAGTCACTAAACCCTTTCTCTCTCTCTCTAAATTATTTTTACTCTTCCCTTTCCTTTCCAGTACCTCATATCATATCCCTTATTATAAAAAAAAAAAAAATTCCGCTGCACATACGCTCCAAATTCCTCCGCTGCACATACTCTCCCTACTTCACAACCGTCAAATTTCGCTGTAAGTATACTTTACCTTCTTTATGTGTTTCATTTTGTGGTTTAACGAAAACCTGAAAAATCTGTTTTTTCAGGTTTCCGTTAAACCACAAAATGAAACACATAAAGAAGGTAAAGTATACTTACAGCGAAGTTTGACGGTTGTGAAGTAGGGAGCGTATGTGCAGCGGAGGAATTTGGAGCGTATGTGTAGCGAAATTTTTTTATTTATTTATTTATAGTAAGTGATATGATATGAGGTACTGGAAAGGAAAGGGAAGAGTAAAAATAATTTAGAGAGATAGAGAGAAGGGGTTTAGTGACTCATAGGGTTTGAGAGCTATATATTTTTTATTGCTTCGTTTCGATTATTTTACAATGGATTCGAATGAAGGTATTTATAGACCTTCAATGTTATCTCTATGATTACAATCGGACAATTCTATCACTGATTCTAATTACAAATGTCACCTAACTTTATCTTTAAGTTAAAGGAAACAAATACAAATTAAACATATGTAAAGTCTAAGAAACCAAAGGTCAAAAAGCCTATAAAGACTAGTATGTTAAAGTCTAAAAGAAAACAGGAAAATGTCGGATGGAATCGTCATTGCGTTCGTCAGCTTTTCTAGACATCTCTATGTGTACTGTCGACTGATACTGGTGATGATGGATCTRTATACGGATCTGAATCTGRAAATTCTCTRTTGTTGACATCTATTGGGSATATATGGCTTTCTCCGATAAATGGCAAATACATATCCCAATTATAATGTGACCAAATCTGTATGTAGTGTCCTTCAGCAAGCAACTTGTAATTATTCCATGTGAATGATACAGGTAGCTTGGGTGTTTCTTGACCGTGCTGTATCCATGGCTCTATGACACCGTTGGGGATTACTTCTTTTATATGATTAAAAGAAATAGCTGTTGAACAAGCTAGCTTCTTTAAATAATTTTGTTCTTCACTTTTGTCGCTGATAAATACTCGCTTTCTGGCTGGCCTGTATGTATGTATAACTGTCTGCTTCTGGTAGTGAAGAAATTTTTTTACATCCAATTGTTGGTGTGTCCGAATAGGAGGCAATATTTCCAGCTGTTAAAATAATTTTTTCTCCAAACTTGTTGAGGAGTTCTTCTGTCTTTGGATTTAAGCTGAATTCCACATAATCAATCATACCATTGTGGTAAAAATTGAGAATCTGATCTGAATTCAAGGTTGCTTTTCTTAAATCGAGTTGTAATAACAGTCTGTTGTATACTAGAGAATTACTATGTGTTCTTTGAACTATTGTAACTCCTTTGTATTTATCTTCATTGAATGCAATGTCGATAATCTGTTGCTGTAATTCATAAAGAATGAGAGGGAATTCTGTACAAATCTTCTGTGAAATAACGCCACCAATTCAGGAATTCGATCCAAAATTGGTTGCATTGTCTGTCTCCAAGGAATATCGATAATCCTTGCTTTAAAGCTGTTGAAATCTCTTTGTAATGCTGTGTATGTTTCAGATTCCTTTTTCTCGAGTTTTGTTTGTAATTTCAAAAGTCTTTCCTCGAGAATAGAATTCTTTTGTTTRAGRATTGAATTTTCAATCTGGATCTGTGTAGACTGTTGATTTTTGCCAGATTGCATGAGCTGTTGCTGTAATTTGGCAATAACTTCTTCTTGAGCTTTAATCAGTTGCTCATGACTTGTTTTTGCCATGTCTGAAAAAGTTTTTACTTCTTCGGGCTCTATGTAAAAGATGTTTAACCCAAAGGCTTCCCTTGCACTATTCATGGCTTCAGAAAAACTGTAATAGCCTTTGAATACTGGGTTGGGACACTGTATATATTTTTCTCATTGTTTCCCATTTATTGAAAATTCCAATTTTTGTTCCTCTATAAACCACATAGTGGGAAAAACGTTTTGGTTGTTTTTGAAGAGTTTGTTCAGAAAAATAAACACTTAATGCATTTAAAACCTGAACTTTAAATGATGAAGCCTATGACATAGTTTGAATATTGCCATAAGTTGTCTAATAAGCATTGTTGTTTATCTGTTAGTTCCACTCCAATTATTGGTCGAAATTTCTTATTCATATCATAATATTTTGATAGAGGATATCTTCCAAATGTTATAATAGAATCCTTTTTTGTGTTTTCAGAGGAACTAGAGGAACTGGGACTCCATTGTTTAACCTTTGAAGGGTTAAAATGTTTTAAAAACTGTGGATCCATGATGGGATTGAACTGTTGAGGCTGTAGACAACTGTGCTGTGCATTGATGGCAGAAAGCATCAATTTATTCTCTGTATTCTCTGTCACATTCTTGTCTTCGTCTGAAGAAAGAATCATAGAAGATGATATACTGTGTTTTGGCTGTATGAGTTGTATCACCTTTCTTTTTTCCTTTATCTTTTTTATCCATCTGCAGTAAATTAACAAATAGATTCTGATAAATCTGTTGAAATAAATTTGATCCAAAAATCTGTTTGTTTCATGGATAATTCTAAGGATTTTAATCTTTCTTTCATATTTTTGTAGTGAAGATGTTTTGGATGATAAGGATCTTGAATATTGGGGTTGCTTTCTAAATCTTGAATTTCTTTTTCTAATTCTTTAAGTTGCTTAAAATTTGATGCTTGCTGTTTCCAATATTCTTTGAGATACTGTGTTCTTATTTTATTATTTTGATTACAATTTATTTGAACTTTATTGCTCATAGCTTAAATAGTTTGTTAATATTTCTAGATAGCATATCTGCTATCCCATTATTTTTTCCTTTAATATTGTAATAACCGGATCTTGGTTATTACCCAAGGTATGTAATATGTGATTATTTGATAAAATAATTGCATGATAACGTGATAAACTGATTTGTTTGATACGTGCTAGTGTGCGAAAATGTGCATTTAATTGGATGAAGGAGTATACATATTTATTTGTATGTATGTATATATATATATATATGTATATATATATATGTGTGTGTGTGTGCGTGCATGTGGGTGTAGGGTTATTATATGCATATTATATGCATATAATATGTGCTTATAGATATACATGTGTATGTAGGCATGTATRTGTTGGTAAAKAATATGCATAGGTGTGCATGAGATGGTCCATCATGCAAACACGTGGCTTGTTTAAGTAGCCCACTTCCTTTTTTAGAAACTATATAAAGAGGCTTAAACCTCTCATTTGGCTTGCTTCCATTTTGAGAAGTTGAGAGTTTTTAAGGAGTGTTGTCCGGTTAAGCAAAAAGGAGGTGATTTCAAGTTGGTTTCAARYGTCCAGTTTCAAAAAGGATTGATTTCTAGCATTTTGGTTCAAAAGCTTTATAAGGTGAGTGGTTTCTAATCTC